GCATTTTCTTGTTTCAGACTGATTTGTTGGTCCAAGATCTGCACAGATGAGCCATTCCTCTTCGCATTGTTGAAGAAAAGACGGACCACAGAGCCACATTTGGCTATCAATTTTTTTTGTGAATTTTTGTGGACAGGTCCGCTGCATTGGATTTTGAAGGTACCCACCGCCATTGGCCGGCATCTGTAGTTTCGAGCAGTTCTCCAATACGATGCATAACATATTGATTGAATCCTCGTGGGTCCATTTTCAGCCATCGCAGAACTGTTTTCGAATCTGACCAATAAAAACAGCTGCGTGTAGTTAAATTGCGGGTGCCCTTGACCTTCTGTGTAAGTCGAGCACCGATCACGGCGGCCTGGAGTTCGAGCCTGGGTATAGATAACGGCTTGAGTGGTGCGACCTTCGACTTGGCCGCGACGAGTGAAACTGTAACGTCATCACCACACTGAACGCGTAGGTAACAAGCGGCGGCATACGCGGCTTCACTGGCGTCTACAAATGTATGGATTTGTATATTTGATGCGTCTTGGAGTAGACGAGAATAACATCGGGATATTTCAATACTCGAAATGTGTAGCAGTACTGTTTTCCACTGATGCCACGCCGGATGAAGTTTCGGTGGCAGTTCATCATCCCAGCCCCAGCCCAGTTGCCACACTCGTTGCAGCAGAATTTTAAGGCTGATCGTATACGGTGCTAAAAGGCCCAGGGGATCAAATATGGATATCAGTACCTGAAGAGTTTCCCGCTTAGTCGGTATGACATCATCGCGAAGAACATCTCTTTTTAGTCTTGCAAATCTGAAAGTATACTTAAAAACATCTTTGTTGGGGTCCCAATACATACCAAGAACTTTTTCTGAATCGCCGAGTGTGACAGGCGCTTGAATTTCATCACACGTAAGTTGAAGGGATCTCACGACCTCAGCCGAGTTGAACGCCCGAACTTCATCTTCGTTATCCATTGAGTCGATAAAGTCGTCGACATAGTGTGCTTCTTTTATGGCTTCGCACGCCCGTGGATACTTATGCTCGAACGATTCAGCATTCGTATTGCGCACGTAGTGTGCTATACAAGGGGCACACCGAATACCAAACGTCATCGCCTGCATGACGAAAATTGTTGGGTCATCCTCTTCGCTGTTTGGCCACCACAAAAATCGCTGTACGTGCATATCGTCCTTTCTGATGTTAATTCGGTGAAACATCTCACCGATGTCACCGCATATAGCCACTTTGCCCACTCGAAAAGCCATTAGAACGTCGATGAGCGGTTTCAGTAGGTCGGGACCGGTCATCAGAAAATCATTGAGAGAGTGTCCGTTTGCCTTTGCGGCAGCATCCCACACCAGGCGCGCCTTTTTAGGCTTATTTGGGTTTAATGCTACGAAGATTGGCAGACACCACACGCGACCATTTTCAGCAAATAACTCTGCTTCGGATACCTCTCTGGCGTAGCCCTTAGATAGTAAATTGCCGATTCGCTCGTGAACAGTTGCTCTGAGCACCGCATCGCTTTGCATTTTAGCTTTTAAAGCCTTTGCACGTTTCAATGCCGCTGGATAACTATTTGGCATACTCACTTGATCACTTTTCCATAATAGACCGACTTCATACATATTTATCACCGACCTTTTGGCACGTATTTTTCAAAATGTCGATAGATTTGGCCTCTTCGCTGGACGTCATGTTTCTTGGTGCGACAGTTTCTAGATCAAAACTGTTTTTCACTGCCTCGTGTATCTCTTCCCAGTCGCATGAACAGTTGTGTACGTTGGCAAATGCCCTTTCAGACTTCCCGCTGGCACCCTGTATTGACCAGCCCAAAATGCATTTAGTTGCAATTGGTTCACGCCATTTCCCTTCTCGCAATTTCCGAGGAACTGCCAGTTTCCAATTATTGATACCAATGAGTATAACCGGACTTGCATTCGTGTACGAAGATATCGGTACGCCCAGCAAGTGGTTGTACCTTTGTTTTAAGATGCTGATATTGACCGTTTGCCGCGGGAGGGACAGGTTGGCGACGGTGTGCACGTCATTGAGCCAAAACTTACGACTACTGCCGACTGCTGATATTTGCATCGATCCGCGAACTGATTTTTTCTCGGTCCTCGTAGTTTCGTTGGTCCAGCGCAGGCAAAGCGGATCTGGTGTGCCCTTAAGCTTTAATTCATTGAATATCCGTTGGTCAATTAGCGTGACCGATGAACCTTCGTCCAAAAAGGCATATACTTCTATGTTTTTCTCACCATTATACAGCTTAACTGGTACGATGGGAAACAGTTGTGAGCTTTCCTCGGCTTGTGATTGGTGGGCGCATACCGGATTTTGAAAGTTTTCAGCACCTGTTGCAGATCCGTTGCGCTTAATGTGTAGCCGGGAGTGGTGTCTTGACTTGCACCCGTCTACACCGCACACCTTCTTCGAAAAGCATCGTCCTTTGTGAAGTTTTAGGCACCTGCGGCAAATGTCATTGTTTGTTACAAATTGCCAGCGTTTTTCGACAATCATCCTTTCGAATTCTTTACAGTCGACCATTCGGTGATTTTCGATTTTGCATACACTACATGTATTCCTATCTTTTGTATCGATATTTTCCACGTGAGTGTGAACGTGCTGCGTTTTCGATGTCGATATTGATACAACCTTAGGAGCAGCTTCGGCCAAATTATAGATCCAGTCGCTGAAGGCTTTCATAGATGGGACGGATTCGTCTCTGTTGTGCATAGCCCAGCTTAGTTTGTGCTGGTTCGGTAGCTTATCGACCAACTCTTTCACAAGCATAGGGTTTTCTAGATGTGCGTTTAATTTGCATGCTTGCATTGTAGCGCAAATACTGCGTACACCGAGCGCGTATTCGATTAACGTTTCCAGCTTTTCTTTAGGCGCTGGCATTTTACGGACTTTTTCGACGACACGCTCAAGAATCAGCTCTGGTCGTCCAAAAAA